CTGATACAGAAGTAAATTTCACCGGTGGATCAGCTTTTTTTGTAATAAATACCTCTGAGGCTGCACTCGGGGAAATGGAAAATTTCGAGAGGTAAAAGTTGTTTGAATTAACGAAATGAACAAGAAAAAATTCATTGTTCAAAACATCACGCACGAAACAATTTCAATAGAAAAGCTAATTCACACGCAGGAAAACCCAAATGTAAATTACGTTTAAGAAGTCGTCTTTTACGCTTGAAATTGAAGCCTAAATTACATTTTGATTAACGTAAAAGACGCTTTGTTTAGGCGTAATTTACGTTTTTATTTTGATCGTAGAATACGCTTTTTTAAAGCCTAAATTACGATTTTCATGACGGAAAAAAGCCACCAGACATCATATTGACGTTAAGCGTAAATTACAGTTATCAAAGCATAAATTACTTTTAGCAAAACGTAATTTCCGTTTAGGTTTTTCCGCGTGCAGGTATATTTTTTTCCGCGATTATTAACATTTCGAAAAAGTCGAAAGTTTCCATCGAGACTCCCCTAATGGACTCACTGTGCTTTCAAATAGACATTCTCATTGAAAAGAGCAACAGTACGTGTCCTCATAACTTTGATCTTGTCCTCTTGCAGCATCCTAACAAACTCTGGATCCTGAGGTACATCCATGGGCAGCAGAGACGTGGTGGACGAAAACTTTTCACTTCCCCCTAAAGTGTTTTTCATATAATTCTATCAAGAAATTCTCGAGAAACATTTCACAGAGAAATTGCAACGGATTTTATGTATCTTCCAACGACTCTGGAAAACTTTTCGGGTTACATTCACAGAGAGTCACCTAACACGAGGTAATAAAAGGGAGAGAGGTTGCGACAGTTACAGGAAAGGTGTTTCCAACACCTGTCACCAACTTTCTCAGTTTTACCAATATTTTTCTATTTTTTAATCTGATTGGAAAAATTTGATTGAATTTCAGCGAAGTCATTGTAGAGAGGAGTGAGTGGATGAATCAAACCGAGGAGATTAACCTGTTGAGCAGCTGTCAATTTGAGGGCTCGCTGTGCTTGACGTTTTCACAAAGAGTATTGACATTTTTTTCAATTTTTCAATGATTGAATCCAATTGTTAAAGCTCCTGAGTCGAGTGAGTTGGTATCGAGCTGGGTCACTTGATAAAATGAAATGAAAAAATATTTTTATTGGTTGAGGGTACCATGCGGGATAATTGTGTACTATTGATTTATCTGTGGCGTACATTTTTTGTTTCATGAATTTGGAGAAGAATTATGTAATGATAGAATCAATTTCTAATGGTTATTTCTCGACAGACTAACTTGTATTGGAAAATAAAAATCTAGTGATTTTTAATCGAAAATGTCTCTTCGCCGCAGGCGCTTTTTCCTGTCACATTCGATATGCCTTTTTTCAATTAATTGTTTGTAATCATTATCATTGCAAAAAGCAATCATCATTTTCACTTGCATTTACATTCTCCTATCCTTAATGTAAGATAATCTCATACTTTTAGCTATTAATTCTAATCAACTTTGTTCGAAGAAAACCTTAGTAAAGGCAATGTTAAGAAAGTTGAATTGTTCGATTTTCCTCTGACCTAAATGATTTGGACAATTATGATTCCTTTACTCATGTTTCATAGAATAGTATTCAATTCACTTTTGTTTGTTACGCGGGCTTCATGAAAATTCGATATTCGCCGAGTGCGAGTTTTCATTTTCGCTTCGATATATTACCCTCTCTTTTTTTTAGAAAGGATGGATTTGGCGGAAAATGATGCGATAATGGGGCGAATTTCTAAAGCATTGAAAAAGAATAATCCGTTATTTTTCTTAATGAATCAACAAAATGACATTTTTTCTCTCATATTTCCTGTCGCTGTCGCTTTCAGAGTACTCCTCCATTGAACGACAAGTGCTTTTCGATTGTGAACATGAATTGTTGGAGTGAATTCGTGGAAACGTATGAAAAGGGGTCAATTTTCATTAAAATCTCCTCCTCTCGACTCAGATTTCGAAATTGATGAGAGATTTTCAATTGATTTATTCACAATTTTATGAATACATGAAATTTTCAACATGCCTTTAGTAGAGTACATATCACGTCAATGAATACATAAATATATTCGAAATAAATTCCATGTCAATTATTTTATTCACGTGATTAAGCTTATACTTCATCCAAATGGCATTTGGTGTTCCTAAAATACGGATTTATAATTTTCACAATAGACTTTTGTTAATTTCTACTATTTGACATTGAGGTACACTATCACCAGAATTCTATTTAAATAGCATTCCATCATATGAAGAATAATTTATAATCCTTTCTTAACTTAACGTTATTAGAATATTTATATTATTTACACAGATAAGTACTTGAGCGCATCGTTTTCCGTGGATTTCATGAGAGTTACAACTACGTGAGTAGTCTTTTCATTCATGAAACTAATAAATACTGATAGAATCGCATAGCAATTATTTATGTCATATCTTTTTCGTTCACAAGGAAGTGTCGCCACTTTGGAATCACTCCAAATAAGTTGAGAAATGGGAGCATGAATTTTAGAATTCAAATTATTATCAAAAGTTTGCGAAATGGTTACATTACTTATGCTAGGTTTATTTGGAATGTCCGCATCCTCATGTAGGATAATAAATGCGAGGCTTCCCTCTCGTACTGGGTGAACGATATATGTTCATCAGTTTTCTCTCAATTTTTCGTAATTAAGGATATCCAATATCAATTAAATTGCGTGAGAAATTTTTTTAAAAATCATGAACATTCAGTGTCATTCAAATTTTACTGTGCACCGAATAATTATTTTTTCAAACATTTGCTATTTATAAATAAATAATTTAAATTGTTTAAACTCTCCGAAACCTCATTTTTTAGGCATGAAATCGATTTTTGGTAAAATTCTGAATATGAATAAATCTGTTGTGATTCCGAACAAATGATGTTTATGGTGGAAAATTGATTGTTTATAAATTATTTATAGAAAAACTTATAATTTTCAAAAAATGCAATTTTTACTTATTTCGTCAAAAATGTAAAATCTTCCTCCAAATGTAAACTTTCTAATTTTTTTCCAGATTTTTAACCCCTCAAGTACAGCGACCATGTCACATATAAACCCGAGAGCATGTCATTATCTTTCATTATCATTCACTAAAAATTCATTATCTTTCGTACTATTGCAGATATCGAAATTATAAAAATTTCTCCCATGAATTGATAAAATTATCAACACAATGCGACTCGATTTTTTTTTGCAAGTTATTTTTAATATTTTTCTTCAATACATAAACAATACGGAACTGAATTCGATGTCAGATGGATATTCAAATCTCTCGTTTATCGAGCTAATTTTCATCAAAAATTCTGAAATTTTTACCGAACATACTCTATACATTCCTTTGTCGAATGGCGCAAACGAAATTTCGATTAAATGAATTACTGAGTTGTTATTAACAAATTCCCGACAATCGCCGATCTTGGCAACCGTTTGTACTATCGAACTGAGATTAGTCTTGAAAATTCCAGAAAAATCTGTGTAAAGGAATACAGTAATTGAACAACTTATTGGTAAAAGCTCAAGATTATCATTAAATTTTAGATGATAATTTTGCGATCATCAGGGTAGAAATTATTGTGTATTGAACAGCGAATTCGAGTAGCCGATGAGACCACACCGCGCGATATGCGCGTCGTACTTGAGGGGTTAAAATGTTTTCCAGCGGTTCAATATAGAGATTTAAATTCAGACCTGCAAAGTTTAAATAATAAAACCATTGTAAAATGTCCTGAACCTCAGGGTTAAATGGGCCTCAAATGAAAGCTCTGATGTTCGACTACAAATTAGAAAAGCATTTCACAGGAGAAAAAATAGCCAAAGTACTTGGATATTTTTAAATCGAGTAATTCTTGAATCAAGAGCAATGTTTCCAAGTGTTTTAAAATGAGAATGATGCAGACATTTTGGTGAATTAAATTGGGAGACCAAAATTCGTAAGAAATTATGCATTATTTAAATTATGATCCATAAGAAACTTTAAATATTCCCTTTTCATAACTAAATTATCAATTTTTTTCAACTTTCAGAAACTTTATTTTCTTTGGCATGGAAGGAATTTCTGGTAAAATCAGTTGTTCATAAATTAGTTATAAGAAATATTGTAATTTGCGCCTCTGATTACTTATTTACAAATGGGGAAAATTATTTCAACGAATAAGAAAATTTCTAAGTATTTGGTATTTTAAATTTAAAGTGAAAGACCTCTTTTATCTCAATTGTTTTCCAGAATTAATTTTTTGGAACATAAAACAGGCCTTTTTTCCCAACTCAAGAACCTCGTTATTAATTCAATGCAGTCATTTACAAGTCACGAAGAATAATGTTCTTAATCCGAGAATTTCCTTCTTCTGAGACAGATAACAAAGCTCCTATGAATTTCAATCTTGTAGCTTTCATTTCGTCCTGTGAAAAAAAATCCTCAGGGAAATTTCGCCATCTCCTTCAGACCTCAAGATATTTATCACAAATTCATCTCGAAGTTGAATTGACATATCTTGTTTCACCACTGTAATATCGAATTCTTCGATGAAATGGGTTGAAAAAGCCAATGATTGGGATATTTACACGCGAATGAACTGTTCACATTTCATCTACTTCACTGTATCGACGCAAATCGCTAGTTCATTTTTAATACTCATGAGGAAATCAGTAGCGAAGCGATAAGTCAATTTTTACTACTGGTCAGTTTTCAATGAATATCTCTGGATCCAAGGCAGATAGCGAAAATGTTGTTAGAACCTTTTTTGCAGAGCGCATTAAGATCTACAAAAAAGGTTATTACAAAAATTTCTCTATCTCCCTTAGAATCGGAGATATTCCTCGATAACTCAGCCTATCGCTTCGCTACTTCAATAAAAACTTCTCAATTATGTTTGACTTTCGGGTCCACATTTTTGTCCTTTCCCTTTTGTCGCCCGCACGTATCAAACGAGAGACACCATCACATGTTTTCGAGATGTCGAGTGTATCATAGCAATGTGGTTGCTACGCCTCGACGACTGTGCTGTCAGTGATGTTGTAATTGTTGTCCTCGTGCTGTGGTGATTATTACTGGTGCCAAAGCAGTGATGTGTACGTGAAGGGCACCATCCAAAAATCCAGGAAATCGCCTGCAGGTTCCTACCCGAGGACGCGATGAGTACGGAGACGAAAATGTTATTTTAAATACTACATTCGTGATCAGTATCGGGGGGACGCACCAAAAAATTTCACAGAAACATTTTTCTATTGAAACATTTCTATATGAATTTCTCGACATGAATTTTCCAAGTTTTTCCATTCTATTTGTGTTCTTCTTTCATTAAATTAATCTGAATGGAATCAATCTCATTCGAATTTAATCTGCATGAATGAATCTCCATGGAGTAGAGTGTGTAGAAAAATAGGATTCTGTTGATTTATTCTAGAAAATATTTTCCATCGAACATTTCCATTGAAAAAAACGCGCGGGTGAACTGCGGAATTTTTCTATGAAATTTTTTGCACGGGGGGGGGGGAATTTATGGAGAAGAAACATGAAAATAACCGCTGAATATTAATAATCGTGAAAAGTACAGATCTGTCCGAAATTGAGGCTGAAATTTTCGAACGAAATTTTCAAATAAAAAGTGTGAGAACGAATAATGCATAATCATAGCTGGTATTTGAGACATTTAAAATGATTGAGGACCTTTTACTCCGTGAATTGGAACTGTTCTCTCAAGTGAAGTCTTCAGCTATATACATTGAAGGGAAAACGAAAGAACAATTTATCAAATGCTCCTGTCATCATTCCACACGAAGAATATTCATAGCATACAATAGAATCCGCTGATGATGCTAGAAATAGAGAAATGGAATCAACAAAGGGGAAAGGTAGGAATGGGTGAGAGAAAAAAAAACTAACAAGAATGTTATGACGTGTATACTTCGCTTTTCCACCCTATCTTATATTTTCCTAACAAATGAGAAACTGGAGGATAAAATATCTCAGTAATGAATCATTCCACACTCCACACTGAGAGAAAAACAGCGGAGCTCTCAAACAAGTCTTACTTGTGCCAAAAAAATCGTTTGTTAAAAATTATCAAAGGATTTTTTTGTATGAAACAGGCGAACGTGCGCCGAGATTGAACATTTTTATTACAAAAATAGATTTACTCTTTTAAAAAAAAATTCAAAAATTTCAAAGAAATGTAATTTCTAGCACTACTTTTTCGTTATTCGATGCACCTATACGTATTTTGTTCCCGGAAAATGCTCGTTTTATATGAAACGAGGGGTAGTAGTTTGTCCTCTCCGCCATTGAAAAATCACAGACAAAAAATGAATTCTTAAATGAAATAATAATAATTATGTGACAGCAATCTTGTAACTTCCCGATAAAATTTCCTCTATAAAAGATATTTTGATTGCCTCTTGAGCCAAATATTTCGTTGTGGAAAGCAGAGCAATTATTCATGTTTGAGACTTTCAAATTCGAAACAAACAATTATTTTTTTGGTAATATTCAGCTGAAGATTTTGTTGGCTCAAACAAGATTTGTTCGAAAACTTGTTCATTTTTCTGTCAGTGCATTCGTTTGTTTACATTTCTCTTCCACTGATGGTGGTGAAACCTCCAGAATATGAGGACTTATCTCCTCAGCCTCTTCTTTTTCGAATGAAACGCGAAAACTGGAACTGAAAGGAAAAATAATCTCCTCTCTGTAAGGTCGTGCTAGCAGTGAATATGCAGATGCAATCAGAGTTTCGGTGAATGTGAGTTTCCTCCCAGAGGTGCATTAATCATAACTGCTGCCGGTTCATCAAAGAGATCCAGGGAACAATTAACGAGTGGGGAGAGGGGAACATCAAAAGCTTCTTTAAATATATCCTGTCTACTCGAGGCTTTGGACGCGTGGAAATGATCGTCGATATTCTCATTCATCGGAATATGAATGAATTTCGAGGGCCTACACACTTCATGATTGACGTGATGTCATGATTTCGAAATGGGAGAGGACTTTGATGATTTGAAAAATTATTGATTTGTAGTGCAACTCTTACTTGAATTGACGCTTTGCCCACAACTGACTTTAAATGATTACATAAAATTCAAATCTGGAATTTTGAAAGATATGATGTGATTGAAATAAAAATGAATAGTTGGATTGAGATGGGGAATAGAGAATTAACGTAATAGTTGAGAAATTCAGTAGCGAAGTGGTAAAACGGTTCAAGTCGACTCATCTCCCAGTTCAGTTTTTGATGAATATTTTCGAATCTAAGAGAGATAGCAAAATTTTCGTAATTACATTTGTTGTAGCTCTCAATCGGCTCTACAAGAAAGGTCATAACAAAAAATTTGCTATCTTCCTTCGATTCCGAGATATTCATTGAAAACTGGCCAATAGTGAAAATTAACTTGTACCGTTTTACCATTTCGCTACTGAATTGTGTTTTCGATTTATGTAAAGTTCCAGTTATATTCATCAAACATGACATTTAACTCCGAATTTGTTAAAAATAGTTTCGAGTGATTCGGTTCGAACGACTCCAGTGAGATTTTGACGGCGAATTTATCCCTAGTTGGTCACCTCCGCGGGGATTCCCCGCCGTGTTATTTAGGTTCCAGCGTTGCCGAACTCACTCTACACTGCCCGGACGTGTTTAGCGAATTTCCGGCAACGTCATGCAACGAGCAATTTCATTTATCAAAAGAAAAAATTGTTCAACCGTTGGAAATATTTTTTTTCCTCTAAAAATTTGAGATGTAATATATTTTTTTTAATACTAAAATTTTCCAAATACTTCAATTAACGAATCTAAATTTTTCCGGACTTTTCCGGGCAACCAGTAGATGGCAATCTAATCCTTGCATGATCAATATAGGATTAAAAATGATTTAGAAAATTTTTAATTGCCCGATTTCAGGGATTTAAAATTGACTTCAAATCAATTATTTTCAAATTGACTTAGGGACTTTCAGGGAGTGGGAGCATACATCGGGAGCGAGTAGACTCTCGATGAATTTATTACAAGGATCTTACCGTACGGTTTTGCAGAATGACGTGCTGAAGAAACAGTAGATGATCGGATTTGCCGCTGAATTGAGTGGAGCTAAGCTCTGGATGAAGGTTGCTATTGCAATATTGGCCTGTGTGCGCGGTATGTGGCCGTAGACTTGGAGTAAGTCGAAAATAATGTAGGGACTCCAGCACAGTACGAACACTGGAAGAGATAAAATGTTGATGACGTTAGAATCGGTGATTTCTACATAAATGGGGGAAGTTTGTAGCTTTCAGGACAAAGTTATTGATTGTGAGAAACTCATGGTTCGATGAATAAGAAAATTGCATTGTTCTTTGAATAATAAAAAAAGCTGTGGACGTGGCTCCAAAAGGAGTATATCTGAAATTGAGTATCAAATATCGGCTTATTTTAAGTGAGAAATGTTTTTAAATTAAGTAAACTCCAGTTTTATTATTAATTCTTGAGAAAGACATGTTTTTGCTTCCGAATAGAAGATTTATAATCACTCAAACTTAAGTTTCCAATTTTTTATGTTGGGGTGACTAAATATTGCAGACATCAGCATAACCATAAATTTTAAATAAAGTTAGATTTTGAGTAAGTCAATTGTTAATAGTACCCATCAATTTTTTAATTGTTAAATTAATCGACAATTGAATACTCAAATTCCAAAATCAAAAGATTGATGATTATTTGGCGAATCGAAAATCCTTTTATTAAAATTTAAATTATCAATTATTTTATTATGTTTCGAAATTCAATAATGATAAGTAAACCTTAATTATTGTAACAACTGCTCATAATATTAGTAAACTAATGTGTTTGTATGTATGTGGTTGTTTTTCTTCATTATTTTCAAAATTTTCTTGTAAAGGATCAATCGAATTTTATTAATTTTTCCATGGATATAGACTTTAATAAGCTCAATTCATTGACATCATTTAAAATTCAATTTTTCATTCAGATTCGAAAAAATTGATATTTTTCCAGAAATCGATTTTTCAACGATCACTCAAAAAATTGTCATAAAAATGGAATGAGTCGGGGTTCACAAAATTGGGAACAATGCCCTCTTGATTCTATCCGAATATGATGGGGGTCGCACAATTCTTTGTTGAGTGACAGCATATTGTTTATGCGATTTAAACGAGAAAATCGGTTTTTCATGATTACGGAAAGAATCATCAGTAAAAGTAATTAAATCAGTGTATTTCAAAAAACACCTCATTCGGCAGCAAATTTCTAATTTATTAGCAACAATAACTACACCCATATATTAAAAAATTGTCCACTTGTTTGTTTCATTTTACATGCATATCTTCTTAGAATGCGTAAACATTTTACAAATTTCATAACTTTACATATTCTTTACGCTTTCTTTCTCCGTATGAGTGTGATTAGACATCTAGACTTAATGTTCACGGGACATTCTTCGCATAAATATTACGGATGAACCCCTTTCATGTCTTTTCTACGAATAGTCGTATGTGCCTTCTTCTACATAGGTAATTCTCATTGATCAACCTAATAAAACTTCGACCCATCATAAAATTATCTCTAGTTGAATGATCTCAACAAGAATGTTTTTGATGTACGTCTGAAGAATTCACTCTGCGAAGTTTTCAATTGTAAATTCACAGTTGATTTCTCTCGCCATTCGTCTCTGTTTTTTTCACGAACGTACCGAAGTCCATTATTTTTTCAACTAAATGTGAAAAAATGAACAGCTGAATGAATTGCAACCGTAATAATTGAACGTAAATATACAACTGTAAGTACTCGATCGTCTGATATAAATTTCTTTTGGATGCTGTGTCAGTGCAAATGATGCGATATTCAATAACTCGCCCACGCAATTCACAAATAATCCATCATACACGTAGTTTCAATAAAATAATGTATTCAACGGATTGCAACAGGATTGCGATTAATGAGAATATTTATAGCATCTCATTCATAGAAAATGCAAACTCATTTAATTTTGGTTCAACTCGGAAATTATAAATTCCAATTATAAATTTGAAGTATATTCGCTGGATAAAAAAATATAAAATAATGATAAATGATGAAATAGCTTCACGTTGAGAGGAAAAATTTGCTCCGCTGAAAAACTATATGTTCCACGTGAGAATATTTTATTTGAGTGGAACAGATTAACTTGAGGGATATTAAAATTTTTGTCGTGACCATCAGAAATATTACTAGAAGAGTTCGAACTGTTGACTGCTCGAAATCTATTGACTTTTTCCTATCGCATATCTAATCTGCGCAAAAAATAAATAGAATTTTAGCGATAATTTCGTAGAATTTTAATAGAACTTCCATAGAATCTCTAGAGAATTTAAATAGAATTTTCTAACGAATAGCGCTTAGGTTTTCTAAGGAATTTTTTCATAGGTGACACTATGGATTCGACCATTTTCAATCATCAAATTTGTCAATTAAATTGCGTGATAAAAATTTTTAAAAATCGTGAATATTCGGCGTCATTAAAATTACATTTTGCACAGAATTATGATTTTTTACAACATTCGTTGTTTATAAATAAATAATAAAAATAGTTTAAACTTTCAGAAATCTATTTTTCAAGAATGCAATCGATACCTGGTAAAATTCAGAATATGAATAAATTTCTAACGATTCCGAACAAATGGTTTTTACGGCCGAAAATCGATTGTTTAGAAATTATTAAAAGAAAATGCTTGTAATTTTCAAAAGTTGCAATTTTTAAATCATTTCATCAATCTTCCTTTAAAAGTAAACTTTATAATTTATTTCAGATGTTAAAAATGTCTTCTAACGGTTCAATATCGAGATTGAAATTCAGACCTGCAAAGTTTAAATAATAAAGCCATTGTAAAATGTCCGGAAACTTAGGGTCAAATGGGGCCGAAATGAAAGCTCTAATGTTCGTCTACAAATGTAGAAAAGTATTTCACAAGAGAACAAATCGCCAAAATATTTGGATATCCTTAAGGATACCCAAGTATCTTTTACAATTTGGAACAGACCACACTACGGATTCCACATGTTCAATCATCAAATTTGTCAATTAAATTGCGTCAGAAAAATTTGAAAAAAATCATGAATATTCAGCGTCATTAAAATTCCATTTTCCACAGACTCATGATTTTTCAAAACATGCATTTTCTGCAAACAAATAATTAAAATTGTTTAAACTCGTTGCTTATAAATAAAAAATTGAGATTGTTTAGAGCATTTCACTGCAGAAAAAATGGCCAAAATCTTGGGACATCGTCAATAAGAGAAAAAATAACAAACAAAATATGAAAACTTACCAAAAACAATGACAAACGTCATCTTAACAGTCTTAATTTTGGCCCGAGGTATGAGCCCCCTGGAAGAGGCTCGTCTATCCCTCATGGGACCCTGTCTCAATACACTACTCTGCGACCATATTGTCGCAACAATAACAGTATAGCATCCACCGATGATGAAGGTTGGAATTACGAATAACGTAAAACTGACTAGGGTCATGTAAACACGCCACTTGAGTGGAGAACTCAGTTCGATCCAACACTGTTTTTTTCCCTGAAACACGTAATAACGAAAGCTTTATTTATGCAGCGAGCGAAATCATCTTGAAAGTGTATTATATACCTCCACCACTGTCTCCTCGTAAAGAAAGATAATTGGAATGCTGAAGGCTGCTGACAATCCCCAGGCAGCGGCGATGAGGGCTCTAGCTCTCCACCCTGCGAGAAAATCAACATTTTTCAATTGTTGAATATTGAAGATCAATTTGAGGGAATTCATTGTTAAGAAAGGGGCGAGCGAGCGAGGTGAGGGGGGGGGGCAAGGCCTCCCCGGTGTTAGCGAGCGAAGCGAGCAGGGAACCGGGACCCTAGTAAATAATGCATACTATAAAAATTGATGTATGAATCAAATTTCAACTAATGTCGATGGACAAGGCTCAACAGTACCTTTAAAAAATGATTGAATTCCATCCACTCATTAGTAACCAATTAACGACAAACTTTGTCATATTTGCAGATATGTACGGACAGGGCATTAAACACAAATTACCCAAAAATTACACTAAATTACGACTAAATTAACATTAAACAACCAAAACTCAACTTTGAATTTGATTACAAAGCTCTCATCCGAAAGTAAATGAAAAGGGTCAGAAGTGGTTCCAAAGGTCATGAAACGTGGAGAAATGCTTAAATTTCCACATTCGATTTTCGGGGTCATTACAAAAAAAATAGAAGTATTTAGTGTGAGACCGCCTCTTCAAACTATTTGATATTCTATGAATAATCTGATGCTTGACACTTTGAAATATGACAAAATGACTAGCAAGAAATGACGTTTTCCAATTCTATCTGAATAAAATCCTAGAATCCAATTTACATAAATATATGATTTGATGCATTTCCGATTTCACTTTTTATTTTCATACAAGATAGTACGGGCTAGGGATGCATATTGAATTCCATTTGGGGAGATAGTGTCACGTGTCATGGGAATTATTTTCTCGTCAGTACTCACAACTTCCGGAAAAATTCATCGGTCGTGTGATTGCGTCATATCTGTCTATTGATAACGCCACCAGAACGTAAGTTGAACTGTATGTGACTAGGACTTGACTGAATCTTATGAGCTTGCAGGCTATATTCCCGGCATACCAGGTGACTGTCGAACGCCATACGATGTCTGTTAACACCGAGATTAATCCAACCAGTAAATCTAAAAGGAGAGAACATAAGAGCAGTTGAATTAATTTCGAAGGAGAGCTCATAATAGCATTTTAATTAATTTCTCATTTTATTCGGGAGAAGCGAATTTCTGCTCATTTAGGGGATTATCATCAACTCCAAGACACTTGCTTTTATTTGACAACTTACTGAGATCGCAAGTTGAAGGGGTGCCAACAAAGGTAATGGAAGGTTTCATTCTAGATTAAATATGGGACAATTCCTTCCCGGTCAATAGTTTTCGAGACACATGGGATGCATTCAATTCCGCGGAATCCATTAATCTCATCTCAGGAATTAGTGGGACGAAAGAGGTCGTATTTCTTGCAAGTTTCCACGAAATTTTCCTGTCTTCACGCACGAAATTTTTTTAAAGAAAAACTATTGAATTTTTATTGAAAATCTATTCGTAATTTTTTGCATGTGCATTACTGGGCTTTTCTAGTAGAAAACGTCCAATAAAAGCTATTTTGTAAACAAAATCCGTAGAATTTCGTCGTTTATACAATTTTTTCCATCAAGATATTTTCTTGAGGAAATCTTCCACATTTCAACTTTTTTTAAAATTTTTTCTAATAGCCATCTTTTCAGAACAAAATTGAGACGAAAATCCCCAGCATCGACTTTTTTGGGGTAGCTACAGGGGATCTGTAAATGCTGTGCGGGAGACTGCTGACTAACATAGCGTGATAATGGCTTGAATCAATGATTTACACTGAGAAAAAAAAGCTTTTTGATGAGTACGCCTTCACGTGTATCAAGAAACTCACGGCTTGAAAATTGATGAGAAGAAAATATCCTGCACTGAGAAAGATAAAACTTGCAAGAGCACGGAAAACAAAATATAACTGAATTTAGTATATTTTATACCAGAATCAAGTATATACATAAACTTGAGTCAAGAATAAATATACTTGATTCAAGTATATTTTATATTCGAATGGGGGATGGGTGTTTCAATTCGAGGATGATTATTTCGTATCAGCCCGAGTTGTACCGAGCGCTCTCAAGTGTAATATAAGGGTCAGACACTAAGTGTGAGAATATAAGGGTCAAAAAATTAGGGTCAGAATATAAAAGTAAAAAAGTGGCTGTCAGGCAATGAGACACTTTTACTTTTATATTCTGACCCTAATGTTTTGACCCTAATATTCTGACCCTCATTTTTTAACCTCCACTTTTTGACCCTTATATTCTGACACTTAGTGTCTGACCCTTATATTACACTTAAGAGGGCTTGCTACAATCCAGCCTGATAACAAAGAATCATCTTCGATTTGAAATACCCAACCTCCAATTGAGTATAAAATATACTCAAATCAAGAAATTGAAATATTATTTCAATTTTATTTTCTTAAAATAGTTTCTAGTTCTCATAATACCTCGAATAATACCTCATAATACCTCAAATATGTCCTCAATTCGAGAACATATTCCACATCAATATATAATATATTATAAAAGAGCTTTCGATGTACGAAAACAACAATATTTACGAATGAATGAATATATTCAAAAAAAGTATTATATTCTTGACCATCAGATTTTTTTCTCACGACTCATTGCCAATGAACCATCTCCCCCGGAATAAACAGGTGAAGTGGTTCGCAATGAAGGATATTACTGAAGTAGAGAATATCATTCTCAGTTTTCTGCTAATGAGAACTCGATGAGATTAAACGTTGCCAGCGGTGCGCTAGCAAATTCAGCTTATATAACGAATAACTCCTGATTCTGTTTCCATATTTTTCAACATAATTACCTCCCCCGTATTTGCCATAACGAGGGAAATTAGTTTGTCGTATGAAGGAGGAAATTGCGAGTGAACTCATTAATTGTGTAGCCTAGCGGAAAATGAAACTCACTTTCTGGGAAATAAAAAACTTCTGTTAGAAATAATGTATGTTCTTATGGAATTTTGGAAATTATGTCAAATTTTTTTGAATTTTTTCTGGTTATCCAGTTAATGGTAATTAACGAAAAACGAGGCGCTAGCATGGGAAATGGTTCATTAATTCTATGATTGGTTTCGCTGAGAACGGGATAATCGCAGTACTCATACACTAAACATCTCGATCAAGAATATACCGAATTAACAGTGTGATAATGATCACCAAACACACTCGATAATTCTGGTTAATCCTCGACAGGCAATCAGGGTAAAAAAACACGCATATAAACAGTGTAATGAAGTGATGTGATTCAGCCCAACAAAAGTGCAAACATTAAAATCTGATGACCCAAATATATTTTACAACTCCCCTCAATCGATTAACTACGTTCGCGATGTTTATGGATATACCTATATTATTAAAACACAGAGATACACAAAATACCAGCGAGCGCCAGCTGTTTGATGAAAAAGTCCATTCGTGATTTCCGGCGTTTTCCCAGAAGCAGACCCGCCAGTACCGCTGTATTGCCCGCCACAATTACAGCAAACAGCAGCCACAGCACTGTGAACTGTTCCGTCTGCAACAATGATTTATAATATTAGTGGTACATCAAGTATTATGAGACTACATTGTTAGAAAATACATGAAATTTCACGGACAGTTTACTAGTAATTTTCAGGACAAGTGACACTGAATGCGATTTAGAGGAAAAAAATCATGAAATTCCAGGTTTCACTGAAAATTCAGTAGAATTTCAGAATTTTAAGACGATAATTCCTTAATTTATTTGAATTTTTCATCTAATATGAATATTCAGTGCCAAATTACGTTGAATTTTCAATGAAATCTGAAATTTCATGATTTTTTCAGGGAAAAATGGAACTGAAATTTACTGTTCTCTTTAATTTTTCCACGAAATTCTAAATTTTCAATGACAAAATTGCTTGAAATTTCAGTGATAATTAAATCCGATAAAAATTTCCAAAAAGTGCATCGGAAATTTCAGACTTGTACCGGAAATAATAAATGAAATACCGGAAATAATTAAAAGAAGTTGGGACGAGATAAATAAATGAAAAGAGCACAAAATGAAAAGCTACGTCCGCGGAAAAAAACACAAGATAAAAGAATGACCATATACAAAGAGACGATCGTACATGAAGATAGTTGAGAGGGAGGAACAGAACAAATACCCCGCAATATTATACATTTTTTGCAAACCGTGTTTTTCGAGGGAAACAAAAATGCTGAAATTGACGAAATTTCCCATTTCTTCACCGTTATTGAGTCCTTTATAAGGAATGTTTTATAAGAGGTGGCAGACAAATCATCCCCTTCCCAGTGATCTCAGCCCCATGGCATAAATTACGTCGTCGAGGCTGGCATTATCTAGGGATAATTATTACTCAGATGCTTTACGAGTTTTCTTATCTCCCCCAACATGCAGATGTTGTGATAGAAAACATGAGGAGCGGTATCCATATAATCGTTTCAGGTGGTGGAAAGTAGAATAGGAGCGAACAAATTGATGTACAAGGGCTTATCACAAGAATGGTCTAATTTGACTCAATCTTTAGAGAAAAGTTACGGCAAAATTTTTTTTATGATACTGAAAAATTGCTTTTACCAAAACGGTTTAGCGTAAACGATCAGTGCAGAGTGACTGTTTTCTGCACGGCGTGCGCAATGTTCACAAGCGTCCGTAAAGTGAATTCTCGTCCGTGAAGTTTCGCTTTACGCATTGGAAATTCACTTTTCGCACGCTCTTGAATTTTATGCACTCGTGCTCAAAAACAACCGCTTTACCCCCTCAATCGTTTCAACCAGTGAATTTGGTAGATATCACAAAAAATATAATGTGTTGCACGTGCGTGCGAAAAAGTAGACCTTTACACACTAGTAACACAATATACTATTGGTCCTAGGATAGTATATTTTGATACGAATGCATAAAAGTTTTTTTAGACTCGTGCACGGAGGGGAATGTTCTGCAGAAATTACGGAACTCACAGTTCGATCACCAATTACGGAATCGGCTCAGAAAATTTAAGTGACGGTATCGTAATTTTTCACGAGAGATTCAGGTAAAAATTACGGAACGCTCTGGAAAAATTCCGTGATTTTAGGTAAAAATTACGTCCTCTCCGTATGGGAGGTGTGTAGTGCTCCCAAGGGTCAAAGAATACTTTTCCCACGATTGTCGAACCCTATTTTTCATCACAATGTGGGAAAAGTGAGATTTTGCGTACGTGACGCGTGCGTAAAATTTCACTTTACGTACGAGTAATGAAAAATCTTGTTTCCTCTCAGTATAGGCTGAGGGAATTATTGACATCAGTACAATGACTTCATTCGTCGTTTCACTGGAATTTTGACAAATTCACAATTTTCGCTTGATGTGTCAATTCAATATTTCGATCGAAGTGTTACCCAGAATCTCCATTAATTCTTCCCTAAATATAGTGTGTGAAATTAGATCCCGGGTTAAGTCAACCCCTGAACAATTTTCCGACCGATCTGATCAAGACGTCAAACTGGATAATACAGGCTATCGTATTACATCATAATTTTCGACACCCCAACCTGGATCTCCGCGACTATCATCAGAGGTTAATCCGATACACTTCCGGGTTCAATGAGTCTTGTATAATTACTGGGAACTCAACATGTTTTAAGACGCGTGAGGAAAAACTTCATGGAAAAACCTAGTGAATTCGCTAGCAAATTCTGTTGGATTTTCATTGAACTTTCTATTATTTTTTGGCCAACTCTATTGAAAAATTGAAATGCTCAATAGAGAATATTTTGTACAGAAAATCACTAATTTTTCAAGTTTCCAAAGAAAGAACATCGATAATTGCGAGTATTTGCGATCAATCTGAACCATGACTCATTTAATTCAATACTGTATTATTGAGAGAAAATTTTTGTTTTCCAGTATCACATCTTCTATTTTCAGAGAAATAAAAACAGTTCTCGGTTATAATATCACACTTGGTGTGCCTGACGATAGGGAGGAATTCAATCATAAAAAGTTTAAGGGATTTATCAGTATGAAAAGTGTACGTTGAGATGTCGATTAAATTCGAACGAATCCATTTCAAGAGGTGATGTTTCACGTTGAGAGATGAGTACTTCTTGACGAGTCAACATCCTATGCAAATATTGACGTTCACTTTTGCTTGGAGTTTCAAGCGTGCGCCACTTTTGGAGTTTCTTTAAACAAGAAAGTTTGTAATGGATCTGAGCTTTGTAACCGTTTTGACGTTCTTTCCTCGGGTGAGAGACGCTCGATAGCATCAATTTTGTTTGTGATTAAATTACTAAGAAGTAATATTGATTGTCCACAATTTCTTGAACAATTGCCTTTGAGGATACCATCGACTTTGAATCCTAGATCGCAAGTTCCTTTCTACTTACCAACAATTAAATCTACAACAATTACATCATCTCTCTTTCGGACACGTGAATCAATTAATAGATTGGTTACATTCAGTAAGAATAGTTTGGACATTGTAAGATCATCCCTTTCTGAGATGGTGTTGACAGTAAGTTTCTAAAATCTTCGAATCTTTCAATCCACACGACTGCACAAACTTCTTTTCCCTGTAGTTACAAACGTGCGCGTCTTTTGAAGTTTTCTTTTAACTCTCGATCACTCGCGCTCGGCTGCCAGCCTTCATCCGTCGCCGGTTAGCGCAGCGCCGCTGGGTTAAACCCAGCACGCTGTTGCCACCTTGGCGCTTACCGCTATGCGCGCATTTCAAGTGCGGCAGTAAATGTAGCAACACTGGCGCTCGCGGGATCGACAGGGACTCACTCGCACCGGGCGGCGCGGCGCCGCTTTTCTGTCCGTTCGACGTTTCTTTTCTTTTTTTAGCTAAACAAATTCCCCGGGGAAAAAACGAATAACGCCAACGCTTAATAGAAGGATTGAACTAGGAACTCTAATTTCTGTCAAATGTTTAAGCGTCGAGAAACGCGCTAAAATAAAAAAAAAAGAAAACACCTTGCGCCGCGCTCATTGAGCGAGTGATCGAGGGTTAACGAGAAAAGTTGTGATAGATCTAAACTTTGTAATTATTTTAACGTTCTTTCTCTGGGTGAGAGACGCACGTAGCATCAATTTTGTTTGTGATCGAATTACTAAGAGGTAACATTGATTGCCCACAACTTGTCGAAATGTGAACAAAAAAATTTATTCGTTGATCCTCATTAGAGACACGGAAAGCTTCTAGCGGCGTGAAGTGAGACATGGACGGTAGCTTGTGAACAATAGTTGGGTGGAAGCTTCAATAAATCGATAGCTACAATCTGCGGACTACGGATGCACTACACTCGTTCACCGAGCCATTATCACGTATAATCGACCGATAATGGCGAAGCGCCCGAGGGAACGCAGTTGTTTAGCGTGAAGTGAATGAAAAATAGAGAAGGATTTAATGCGCGAAAAGAAAGGTGTCCCTCTAATTTGAATATCTTGCGTGCCTCTGACACATCCATTTAAAAAACTCCATTTGGTGGGTGTGCTGGGTGTTTCTAGCGAGAGCGAGGGACAGAAAGGGCTGCAGTGTCGGTGTCGAGGTGCCACACGGAGGCGATATTAATTTTATATCGAGTTAAATTAATTTCTTTAGAAACGTCCTTGCGAAGGAAATTAATGAAGCCATGCACTAGTTGCAAATTTCGCATTATTCTGAGGTACTGACGCACTAGTGTAGTTGAGCTGTTACAAATTTCAGAGTAATTTTCACTTAGTGACATTGGTATTGGAATTTTAGAGAATTTCGTCTTTTGTAAATTATAATTTGATACGAAAATTAATGTAAATTGGAAATTTCAGTTCAATTGTTCAGCAAAAATCGAAATTTTTGGATTCACTTGAATTTTAAATTGAAAATAAAAATTCTCAACCTTTTTTGGCTGAACAAAAAAAAATCGTTAGTTGAAAATTACCAGAAGAACAAAATCTACTGCTGACCATTTGAATACTGTCTTCAGATGAAAAATTTTAGTCGCAAAAATAGATTTAGTAGGTCCAAAAAAAAAATTTCCTCCGAGAAAAAATGAAATTTCAGATTTCTTATAAAATCCAAATTATTTTCAAATAGTTTACGACCTTGGGTCGTGATAGTTTGGTGGAATAGTTCCTCGAAAGAAATTGAAAAGGAGAAGTTGAACGAGTTGACGAAAAAAGTTATGATCAGATCTGTGAACAATACCCGCTACTTCATCCGGCTCCAGCTATGTGCACCTTCCGTGATATATAAGATTCTTCAACGAGTCTGACATGTACCATCTCCTTTTACCGGAAAGGATTTTAGCTTTTATTATTTGACAAGTTGAGAACTCATGCGAGCTTCATGTACAAAAAAGATTATATGTGGGCAACACTGAAATGGAATACAAGTCGGGAGCAAACTCTGAAAGATTGTACACAGCAGAGTAGTAAAAAGGAGCCCTGAATGGCTGAAATAAAAAGTAAATCGCTTCAGTCATTGCTGTGTATATTTTCATTCCCCTGCGGTGAGATGTGACGGAATTTGAATATCCTGATGCACGCACGAAACAAAAATC